GGGGGAGCGGTGTCCCCGGTTGCCCAAGGCGGCCAATGGCATCCTGGCCTGTATCAGGAATAGTGTGGCCAGCAGGACCAGCGCAGTGATCGTCCCCCTGTACTCGGCACCGGTGAGGCGGCATCTTGAGTGCTGTGTTCAGTTTTGGGCCTCTTGTTGAGGTGCTGGAGCGAATCCAGAGAAGGGCAATGAAGGTGGCGAAGGGTCTGGAGCACAAGTCTGATGGGGAGCGGCTGAGGGAGCTGGGGGTGTTCGGTCTGGAGAATAGGAGGCTGAGGGGAGACCTGGTCGCTCTCTACAACGACCTGAAAGGAGGGTGTAGCCAGGTGGGGGTCAGCCTCTTCTCCCAGGCAACCGGTGACAGGACAAGAGGGCATGGTCTGAAACTGCGCCAGGGGAAGTTCAGGCTAGAAATGAGGAGGCATTTCTTCACAGAAAGGGTCGTTAGGCATTGGAATGGGCTGCCCAGGGATGTGGTGGAGTCCCGATCGCTGGAGGTGTTTAAGAAAAGACTGGACGTGGCACTTAGTGCCATGGTCTGGTTGACATGGGGGTGTTAGGGCAAAGGTTGGACTCAACGATCCCAGAGGTCTCTTCCAACCAAACCGATTCTGTGATTCTATGGGAAGCAAACAGCAGCTTGGTAGCTGTAGGGAGAACAGGTACAGGGACATACCAGCACTCGGACACTCACCAGCAGCTGAAATTGTTATTTAGGTCTCGGCTCAAACAGGTCTTTGGGTTTTCCAGCTTTCCAGAGCATGGCACTCTCACAGCATTACTAACCCTGCCGCCTGGGTAGGGGACTGGAGGACAGGCGCAGCAAGGGTGATGTTCCCTTCAGCGCTCGGTGTTTGCGCAGTTCTGCTCCTCTTACCAGCACCAAGAGATTTCTCCTTAGCTTCTCTGGAAGCATTAAGTGTGTCTGCAACACGAAGGCAGGCAACGGGACCAGCTATTAGGTCAGTCCTTTCCTCCTCTTTCGTTGCCCAAAGGATGATCTACCTCAGTTGTCTCTGAGGCTACCTCATGAAAAGTCTGGTTTCATATATCTAGACCAGGTTTCAATACCTGGTAGAGAAGATTGGAAAGCTGTAATGGTAGACCCAGGACCCCTTTTGAGACTTGTGGCATTCCCGGATGGGGAGCAAAAGGAGGGAGCTGGGTGCTTTAGGAATCTGGGGGGAGATGAAAAATTGGTTCATGTGGCTTGGGGGGAAGAAAGCAATGGACCGAGGAGCTGGTTTGGCTGAAATCACGTGGGCGAGGTAAATGGATGAATAAATACAGTAAAACCTGTAACCAGGTAGCCTGAAATGACTTACGTGTTTTTTCCCTCCAGAGGAGATTTTGAATACTCAGAAATATACTGAGATGATATTGCATAGTATATAATACTAAACCTTGCTTCATGAAATCTGATACTGCATTAAAAGACTCATTTAGTTTGGAAGAGTGAAGAACTTTAAAAAAAGGAGTTGTTCTGGATTTAGCTTTGAGTATTGGTGTAGATACAAACTCTTAAATATACTGTCGAGTTGATAAATGTCCAAATTCTAGCTGTTATTAGGGTCACACTTAACGGGAATTCTGACTCGTCATCAACACCAATTTTATGCAGTTTGCCACCACGGGCAGTGCAGTGTCAGACAATTTTGCCTGGGCCTGTCTGGCAGGTATTTCTGGGTGACCTCTCACAAAAATCTGCTGTGTCACTTCCCTCCTTGCCATGTCAATTATCTGCACACAGAAAGGGTGAAAATTAGAAGGAAGTAAAAGCAATCCGTTCACGGTCTCTTATGCACAGCTCAGGTGATGCAGCCTTTCTTATGTGCTGTGACACAGGGAAAAATTGTAACCAAGTATGTTTAAAAATCAGATTTTTGAATTGGAGAATTGGGAAGAAAACCACAGGGCCTGTCTGATTATTCTGTTACTTACTCCCTCCACAACATATGCATTTTGGAAAAAAATGTATTCATAATCCTCAGTGGTCCATGCTGATTCCTGCT